GTCACCAACAATATCATCAAAGCTTCAACCTTTTGGTCTAGACGCTCTCGTTCAGGCCGCTAGCGAGGAGCGACGTCGTCTCAGTGGCAGCAGTCCAGCAGAGCCGGAAATAATACAAAGACGCCCCAGCTCACCCATTGACTCGAGGCACAGTATGCATCAACCTCAACATTTTCCTCATCATCGACAGCACATATCACACGAAGACCATGTTCGCTCGCCTGTTCTACAACATCACTCACCTATGCTCAGTCCAGCGCAGATGGTCAGAAGCCCTCCTCAATCCATGCACAGTCCTGTACAGCTCATTCGCAGTCCTGTTTACGCCCCCGTCACTCAACACCAATCTCAGTCGCGTCATAGGGTTCCAGAAAGGCATCGTGACGAGTCTCAGTCTCGCATGAACACTGCCGAGGACATGCAGCATCGGCCACAACTGGCGTACTTCTCCCCTCCACTTCAATCTCATCCTCCTCGACAACAAATGGTTCTTGACCATCGCCTTCAACAACAACAACAACATGACCTTGACCGTCAACGCAAGCATCACGAGCAGCTTTTGCTTCAGGAGCACCATCTCCAACAGCAACAGAAGTATGCTCGAGAGCGTCAGGCACCGTACACAGATAGACAGGTACTACCACCAGTACCTCATCCAACCCGCGGCCCTTCTATGCCTCTTCATGTAGAGGTTCCATCTCACCACCAACCTCAACCCCAACCTCCTCGCCCAGTTCCAATACCTCAACTTCACACGAGTGGACGCAAATCCGATCCAGGCCAATCCCACCGAGCCCTGCATCCCGATCCAATCACACCCCTCTCTGCTCCTCCATACCCACAACAAATGCCCACTGCCGATACCACATCGCAACCGAACAAGAGACGGCGATACTCCGATTCACCAGCCCAAATGGTATCTATCGACGAAAAGGAACGTATTTTCCGTGAGCGGGAGAAGATGGCAGCTGGAGATCTGGGATATGGGCGGCCTGAACCAACAGGAGCTCCAGGGCCTCGCCGACCTGGGTCAGGTCATGGACATGGTCGTAAGCATCTGTTGGTGGAGCTCATGACACCAAACCACGAGGCCGTTCGTGTGCAATCTATCACTAGTGGCGTATCTGTGGAAGGTCCGCGCCTCGAGGTACCATCCGAACCTGAGAGTGGACCACGCGAGATCGCCTCGCGTGAGGCAGGAGGGCGCCACGGCACCTCACGGGAGGGAAATTCGCATGAGGGTGTTGTGCGTGAGGGTTATCGTCAGTCTAGGCCTCAAGAGGCGCCTCCACCTTCTCGCGAAGGAGGTCCACGAGAAGGAAGCTCGCGTGATAGACAGAGTTTATTCAGTCCCCCTCCTCACAGACGACGTTCCCCTCCCGGCAGCCACTCGGGTAGAGCTATAGCAGCCAAGAAAACGGAAGAGGTGGAACATTATCTGCATGACCTACTATCTCAGGCCACCGAGCCACCACGGGTGCCCGAGAAAGAAAGGAAATCACCGCTGCCGGAGAAAGAAGGCAAGATAGCACCACATGAGAAAGAAACTAAACCGATGGTCCTTGAGAAGACGACAATGCCGTTAGAGATGGGTAATAGGACGGCACTTGACAAAGAGGTCAAAACTGTGGTGCCTGAGAAAGAAACAAGGAAACGACCTCCATCCCGGGCCACGATCGACAACGCCACAGCCATCGAACCCGCACCGCCGAAGAAGCAACGCACAGGCCCTGTTCCAGCGGCGTCGGCTCCGAAACCTGCAGAGGAAGACGCGCATGAGTGGTTTTTGGAACATTTTGACGACTATAACGTACCTGCACCATCTCAGCCGCACTCACCCCATGTGCCGAGCCCGACCGTCCCCCCTGCTCCTCCCGGCCGCCATCTTCAAGCGCCGAAGACGCGGACTCCCACGCCCGCGACGATGCCAGAGGCGGCGGATGAGCTCGAACAGGAGCTAGAGGAACTGTTAGCTGATCCTCCCCATGTCAGCAAAGTCGAACCGGACACGGACATGGACGTTGACCTCGTCACCGAGCTCGTGGCGGAGACATTGGACGCTGAAGATACCAAGGCCGAAGATGTTGGTATGGAGGTGGACGTTGAAGATGAGCTTCTGAGTTTATTGGACGATAAACCCAGTGTGCGAAGGCCTGCCGCGAAGTCGGTCACTCCTGGTCTATCGAATGTCAAACCGCTACCGCCTGCTGGGGCAAGGCATGTTTCCCCTTCCGGTATGTCCGTGGTCTCGATGCCTTCTCCTGCTACTTTACTCCCTCCTGTTGTCCGGCCGTCATCTACGCGTCCAACTTCCGAGCGTGGGTCAATGCCTCCACCGGCCTCTGTTGCTCCTGGGCGAGGGAAAGACAAGGAGGAGAAATCGACAGAACGAGGCGCCAGTGCAGCAGCTCCTGCTACCAAGAAGAAGGATGCGCTGTCAAAGGTGTGTTATAATGTTAGTAACGCCCATCATGTGTGACCTGATCCTTTACATAGGCTGCAAAGAATAAGGCTACCGCCGCCGTTTCCGCGGGGACGACATTAGCCAAATCCCGAGCCAGGCCTGGCCCAAAGCCGAAGCCAAAAGCTTCAGATGCGTCTCTTTCCGCCACTGCTGCCAAGTCAAAGGCCTCCAAAAAGCCTGCTGCATCACGGTCACGGTCAACGTCTGTTATGCCCAGTGGGTCTGCAGGCCCAGAGGGCAGCGAGGCAAAGGCGGAGAAACAAGAGGAGGAGGAATCAGACCAAGAAGACGACAAGTTGTACTGTGTTTGCAAGACAACCTACGACGAGGACCGTTTCATGATTGCTTGCGATCGGTGAGACAGTTGTTTGTTGATTGAAATCCACACGGACTGACACTTTGCCGTACAGATGTGATGACTGGTATCATACGCAATGTGTAAATATGCCTGACCTTGAGGTTGATCTTGTGGATCAATTTATTTGTCCGCCTTGTATCGAAAGTGAGCAGCTCTTGATAGCATTTCGACGTGGCATTGTTACTGATGTGTTTCGGTAGAATATCCAAACTTGCAACTCAAGACCACGTACAAGACCCGATGTCTTTACGGACTGAGGCATCCTGATCCCTCCTCTCCAAAGGCCTGTCACCGACCAGCCCGCGGCGCGTTCTCAAAGTATTGCTCCGATGAATGTGGCCTCAAGTACATGCAGTCGCGTGCTGATGCATGGGCAAAGAAAGGCGGCAAAAAGGAGAAACTTTGGGAAACTGTCAAGGATGCCGAAAAGCGCGAGGGTGTAGTGGTTTGCGCTGTGGGACCTAATGGCAAGATGGTTGTGGACGAGGGGGACCATGGAGTCAAGCCAAAGAAGAGCAAGGTCGAACGCGAGATCGAGCGATTGAATGGGCTTCTGGACTCCATTGTCAGGTTGCGCGAAGACGTTAAGAAGGAGATGGAGGGCGTTGTATGGCGTGAAAAGTTGCTGGAACTGGCGACAGTGAGGGCGGAACAGATCGGCGAATGTGGATGGGATCAGCGCCTTTGCTTTGGCGATGATGAATCTGCCGACCTTGGGGCGAGAGCTCTGGAAAGCTACGACGTCAACGTGCAAAACGGAGACAATGAGAGCGGGGCCTGGTGGTGCTCTGGGAAAAAGGCTTGTGACCGTCATGCTGGGTCAGCTTCATTCTCCTTGCAATCAGGTGAACTCCTTTCTGACTTTTGGACTCAATTCAGTTGGCAAACCGTCCGAGTAAAGGATGTCTGCAAAGAAAAGGAGAAGAAGAATGATGCCCTCTCCAACCTTACGACGCGAGAACGTGAAATTCGCAAACGAATCGAGGACATTTTGGACCCCCATGGACGCAATTGTAACGATTCATCGGATAAATCGCCGCTCAAGGCTTCTAATGCCAAGTTATCCAATGGCCATACAAAAGGGAAAACGAACGGTGACACAACGACGACGAAGAAGGGCAAAAAACGCAAAGCCCCTTCGTGATATAGACTCTATCTTAATTTTCTTGCCTCATACGACGGGTTTACAGGGGTCATACATATAACTGTGTAGTTATTTTCGCTTTGAGGATTTTGCTTTCGCTCGTTCTGTATATTCTATGGATCCGCCCTTGTTATGTAGCATTTTTTGGCATGTTTTATAGGACGCCAACATCTGGTCGGGGTCCAACGCAAAGCAATGTAATATAGTGGTAGTACAATATAGTCCACTCTCCCCTCTATAAGTAAGGCGTAATGAATCTGCCTGTGAAGTCGGCCGAACTGGCGGCAGGACAACACGCCGTGTTCCATGCAAGGGGCAACATGTGGAACAACGTTAGTATCCATCTCCCTCGCCTCCCTCCTTGCAGAATCCCTTCTTCTCGTAAAGGATCTGTGACTTTGCTTCTTCGCGCTGTTTCTTTGCATCGGCCTCGTTCTTGTGGTAAGGTTCCAATGTGTTCCAGTCCACTTGTTGTAAAGGAATGTCGTCTTCTCTGTCAAGGTCCTGTGACGACGCCATATTAAGAGAGATTAGCAACGACAAAGTTCAATAACGCACTATTTCGCCCAGGAGGACCACATTCTCGCCACGTATAAGGTAAAGGCCTCGCCAGCTTTCAGCAAAGGCATTTCCATGGTATATTCGCTCTACAGTGTCTTCTAATACAAGATTTGCTGGATTGAACAAAACGTTAGATGGCGTGGCTTGGAATAAAGCGGTGAAGGCTGGCTGACCGAACTGATCATAGGAGCGTAGTACACCGTGGAGTTTGCGACCGTCGCGTAAAATTACAAGCATCTTCCCTGAGGAAAATCGAGCAAGAGTACATGTCAAGGAGGAGAGACGGGTATGCTCAGGATGTGGTGAAGCTGCATTTGACTTGGGGTAGACGTACTGTCCACACAATCCACGAGAGACCCCGATGTAGTGAAGGGGATGAGAGAGTCCATGTTGTGGGAGGAGAGAAGAAGCGCGGAAGTCAATTGAAAGCTAAAATGGTGTATACAAGATATAATCCAAAAACCAAAAGGGTTCGCTGGAAGCAGGATTTGAACCTACGCGGTGAAACACCAAGTGATAGTGAGTATTCAAATCACTCGCCTTAACGACTCGGCCATTCCAGCTTATGAACCATCTTCTACTTGTATTATTGTAATGCTTGTGTCGCATTGCTACACAAATCCAATCATGCAGAAACTATCTATGTATATCATGAAGACGGCGCCGTGGCGGCGTACTCCCACTGTCCTGCTTCTGGCTTTTCCTCCAGAGGTTCCCATCTAGACAAAGGTCAGATTGAGGTAAGATCAGAATGAAATAGCCTGGGAACGTACGCTTTCCATTCGACCATCTTTGCAGCCAAACTAAGCTCGTCCGACGCGATATCCAACGCCTCCTCTATCTGACCCTCATCCAACCGCACTTCTGCTGCAGCAATGTCTCCGTTTGCATTCTGCACGATGTTAAGTTTGCGAAGAACGAGAGCCTCGACGCCCTGTCTGTATACGGATGACTGAGGGATTGACGCGAGTACTGAGAGTGTCTGCTCGTATGTTTTTGTGAGCTGTGGTAATGGGTTTGGGTGCACAGCGAGGCCAGTGATGCCTGTGGTTCGTTTTAAGGCATTTGCGAGAGGACGAGTAACGCGAAACATGGTCAACGGAGAGAACAGGTATTGGCGGAGTCTGAAATTGTCTTCATTCACCTCGACCGCCATGGCTGCAGCGGCGTTCAATGCCTTGCCCTCCCTTCGCCATTCCATCTTATCAACGTCACGCACAACGTCGAGGTCGTTCTTTGCTGCATCTTTATTGCCAGCATTTCTCACTCTAGCATGGACCACACCCTCACTCCAATCCCTGCTCGAGCTCATACCGCCTTTCCTTCTCGCAGTACCAAAGTCAAAAATATCACACTCTCGCAAGTCTATGCGTAGTGCCAACAAAGGGTTGAAGGACAAGCAAAGTGCGTTTCTAGAGCCCTGGCACATTCAGCATTCACTCAACCACTTCTCCGTTAGACATTGTCAATTGCCCTGCATGTGGCCAACCAAAACTCGCACACCACCTCTGCCAAAGCTGTTATGGCTTCCTGACTCGGATGTGGAAAAAGAAGAAAAACGAGGATATGCCCGACTTGCCGTGATGGTGTGTTTTGTTCTGCCTTACTCGCTGTCGAATCTCACTCACTCGCTAAGAACTCAGACTATGTTTCTCCTCCTGACCGCGTTACTTACTAGCAACTAGCCTAGGATACTTCGGTTGTTCATAATACACCTATAGAAATATATTTCCACGTGATCAAGTAATCAAGTTCCGAAGGCGATCGGGACGGGCAGCCTGCGCGAGAAACCACTCAAAAGGTAGCCATGCCTTTCTTTTTTCCCCACATCTTCCACTATGCTCCTCTTCCCTTCCCTCGTTCACCGTGTCTCCCCCATCGCCCGCGCTGCCTCCACTCAGGCAGCCCCTCGCGGTCTCGCTGCTATTCTCCAGAAGAACCCGGACGACGTCGTTATTACCTTTGCGAAGCGGACTCCAGTTGGAAGGGCCAAGAAGGGACAATTTAAAGACACACCTGTCGATGAAATGCTTCATGCCCTCTTCAAGGCACGATAGTTGCCTTCCATATGAACACAGGGCATCTAACACTTTACTCAGGCGACCCTGGACAAGACCAAGCTTGACCCATCCAAGATAGACGATATCTGTGTCGGTGAGGAAATCTCACCTCTGCTCTAAGCTTTCCTAGAATTAACTTGTATGTATGTAAGGCACTTGTCATCCACCCTCACCACTCTATGTGTCGCGTGCTGCAGCACTGGCTGCTGGGATCCCTTACGACGTGCCTATATCAACTGTGAACCGACTCTGTTCGTCAGGCTTGATGGCAATACGCAGCATCGCGCAATCCATCCAGACAGGGGAGGCCTCTCTTGGTCTTGCTGTCGGTGTCGAGAGCATGAGTCTCAAGTCAGTGTCACCACGGTAGCCAGTTGGTCGCGCGACTTACGAACAGACAACAGCCCTCGCCCCACTCCAGAGGTCTCAGAGGCTGTTGACAAGTCAGTCGAAGCACACGACTGCATCCAGGTACGTTTTGGTGATAGTTGTTATATCTGCCTCTCATGTTCGTAGCCCATGGGCTGGACTTCAGAAATGGTCGCAGAAACGTACAAGGTCTCGCGCGAAACGCAGGACAAATACGCGTTGATCTCGCATGAAAGGGCTAACAAGGTATTTCTCACTTCCATTCCGCTCTGGTTCGCGATACTCAAACGGTATAGGCACTGTCCTCAAATATCTTTCAAGATGAGATCCTCCCTATCGAAATCAAGGGCACTCTTCATTCCAAGGACGACACCATCCGGCCAAATGTGAGCGCAGAGTCGCTCGCCTCGCTCAAACCCGTGTTCCCCAATTGGGGTGAGGCGTCAACGACAGCTGGCAACGCCAGTGGAGTCGGCGACGGTGCGGCGATTTGCGTTCTCACCACGAGAGAGCGTGCGCAAAGGGAAGGGCTGGCCATCGTTGGCAAATGGGTCGGAAGCGCGATCGTCGGTATGTCCCTTTAGTAGCTTGTGTAAGAACAGTGCAAGTTTAACAGGTATGATCAGGTGTTCAACCTAGATACATGGGTATTTCACCGATATACGCGGTCCCCAAGGTCCTGTCACAACTTGGCCTGACGAAGGAGGACATCGACCTCTATGAGGTGCTTTCTTATAGATTATTTCGACTCTGTATCGAAGCTAACCTATGCCTCCAACTAGATCAATGAAGCCTTTGCATCACAATTTGCTCACTGTGTCGAGGAGCTGAAGATTCCCATTGAAAAGATCAATCCCAAGTAAGTTCTCCAGTAGCTATGTTTGTTTCCAGCAACCAATGCAACGCTAGTGGCGGGTCTATCGCTATCTCACATCCAATTGGAATGAGTATGTGTCCTTTGACCCCTGACCCCATACCGCCATGCTGATGCTTCATTTCTCTAGCCGGCGTCCGTCAAGTTGTCACCGGTCTTGCGGAACTCCAACGAACTGGTGGGAACCTCCTATGCACCAGCATGTGTGTTGGTAGCGGCATGGGTGCCGCGGCCGTCTTTGTCAACGAAGCTCATCATTGATATGTGCCTGGTGTACAATATGATATATGTAATATGGAATCGATCTGGTCTTGCGCCACAACTGGGGACATACTTCCAAGTTATTCCCTGTTCAGGACCTCTAATCTGAACCTCTAGAGCTCTAGCGCTGGGCATTCTGATGGAGATATTTTTCAAGGGCAGCATGATGTATTCGTTTTTGTGAAGTATGTACGATAATTAATCACGAGAATTGTTACAGAGATCTTCTGCATAGCCTGAAAGTAAGAACAAAGTCAGTCATTGAACCGGAATATTTCGGATGGAATAGGAAAAGAAACATCTCAGCAAGTCATTCATGTCAGTGATCCACGCGAGATAAAATCCCGTTACTCGTGAAGCAAGTCTACTAAGAGGTGCCAATGGTTGTAAATATCAACACTCGTCATTGAAAGGGTGGGGCGAACATACAAAGGACAAAGAACAGGGAAAAGAGACTCACTGTGGATGTGGGCGACGCCACTGAGAACGACGACAATAACGACATAATGAAGTGCGGGTTATATAGGAACGAGATTCGGCAAACAGCGGTGGTACTGTCTATTTCTTAAGCCACTGGATGCACGTGACGATCAGAGGTTCGGAGCCGATCAAACTTTGAAAGTAGTCAGGCAAGTCAAGGTCGTCGCCGTCGCAAAAAGTCAGTCTCCTCCCTCAAGATGTCCGCCCAAATTTCCAAAAAGCGCAAGTTCGTCGCTGACGGTGTCTTCCGCGCCGAACTCAATGAATTCTTTACCCGTGAACTCGCCGAGGAGGGTTATTCTGGTTGCGACGTCCGTGTCACCCATGCCCGCACTGAGGTCAGTTTTATCTGTGTATTATTCAATTGTAACAGCGAGCTCAATCAACACTGTAGATCATCATCCGTGCTACCCATACCCAGGAGGTCCTTGGTGAAAAGGGCCGCCGCATCCGTGAACTCACTGCGCTCGTCCAGAAGCGTTTCAAGTTCCCTGAAAACTCTCTCGAGCTCTACGCCGAGAAGGTCCAATACCGTGGTCTCTCTGCTATCGCTCAGTGCGAGAGCTTGAGGTACAAGCTTCTCGGTGGCCTTGCTGTCCGTCGGTGCGTTCAAGTCTTATCTCATTATCACAAAAAATCTGATTTGATCATGACCTGCAGTGCTTGCTACGGTGTCCTCCGCTTCGTCATGGAGTCTGGTGCTAAGGGTTGTGAGGTCGTTGTCTCTGGCAAGCTCCGTGCTGCCCGTGCCAAGTCGATGAAGTTCACCGACGGTTTCATGCTGCACTCCGGTCAGCCCGCCCGTGACTTCGTTGACTACGCCGTCCGCCACGTCCTCCTCAAGCAGGGTGTGCTTGGTATCAAGGTCAAAATGTATGTCATTAACTCCAGCTTCACAGGAATATCACTTATCCCATTTCTTTAGCATGAAGGGATCCGATCCCGAGGGCCAGACTGGACCTCGCCAACCCCTCCCTGACTCCGTCCAAATCATCGAGCCCCCTGTCGACAAGATCGTCTCCGAGCCCTCATCCGAGCAAAGGGAGCCCGTCGCCGTCGCCCCCGCAGCACCAGTCGAGGAGAGCTATGCTCCTGCTGAGAGCTACCAGCCGGCGGCTGAGGGCTACCCTGAGCAGCCAGTGTTCTGATTTGTTCCTTTGTTTCGTATGACGGTTCAATAACATTCACTGTACATTTCTCCATGCGTGACCCTTGGAATCAGACGCCATGTACCAAATATTGAAAGCCATCCCAGGTTGAGCACAATTCCGCGTACTGCTACTAGACTTTCTGAGTTACACTACTTCCCGCCAATCCCCCCTGAGGCATCGCAAATACCAACTGCTTGGTCGTTCGGGAACTAATTGTAATCTGGATAGTGCTAAGCGTCTGCGATGGGTCAGAAACTACGAGCTTATTGGAGGTGAGTTTGTAGATGATGGCGCTATTTCCATTTGCTGAGATCGTAATCGGTCCCCCCTTTCGAGGACTGAAGGTGACCGATCCACCCTGGATGTCC